CAAGTGCCGGCAGTGTAACTTGAAACTTTGGAATTTCTTTAAAAATAAAAAATTGCACTGGGCCGCATTATGAGCTGACCTGGGTCGCATGCGGCCCTCGGGCTGCAGGTTGGGCAAGCCTGTTTTAAATGAATGAAAACAATAAATATTACATGAACAGTGTTTGAACTAAAGATCTGGTGTACGGTCTGTCAGTAGTGTGGCTGGGGTCTCTCTCCTCTCCTGGTCCCTCTCCCCAGGATATAAAGAATATTAATCCCTCAGGTAACATGATGATGGCCTGCACACACTGCACTGCAAGCAGTAAGGGGATGGCCCGGTTCTGGGGGGAGGGTCCAATTTAGTTTGTACAGGTTTTGATGCAATGTTTTTTATTTATTTATTTTATGTATTTTAATTTATTTAAGTTAGTTTTACAGATTTTATATTCTTAAATGGTTTTATATGATTCTGTAACCCATCCTGAGATCTTGCAATATAGGGCAAGCTATAAATGGATACCCAGTGTGGTGTAGTGGATAGAGTGATCGACCAGGACTCTGGAAGCTTGGGTTCGAATCCACACTTATCCATGAAGGGTCATTGGGGTGTGGAATTAAGGAGTAGCAAAACTACTCCTTAAATATCTTGCTTATCTTGAAAGCCCTATTAGGGTTGCTATAAGTCAGTTCTGAGTTCACAGCACATAACACTAACAGCTTTAAATCAATCAATCAATCATAATAAACAACTGCAAGTAGACAAGGGTTTTGTTTTCAGAAGTCTTGCTTGGTTTGAATAACCCAAATAAGGTTACTAGCACTGAAATAAGAATATAAATAAGGGATAAACTATTCCCAACAATCTCAAATTTAATTCCCTATAAAATGGAATTTCATATGCAAAGAAATATGGTTATCTGGGCACTTGTACAAGTAGGTCTTGAGCCTGTGCAGAGACTTGCAGATAACATTCTATAGATGAACAGTTTTGCAGCAGTAACCCTGATTTCCTTCCTATATAACATATGCATAGGCACAACCTGTTCATCATTTTCAATTGCAACTCCATTTCAAAACAAAAGCCAAAAGTGTCAACTGGAGTCTAAGGGGAGGCATGAATGCCCAGATCACTACCTAAACCATCACAGTTGCAGGTAAGCAATCTGTTCTTCTTTGTAATAGTCTCTGTTCCTCATACGATTTGTTGATTAAATAAACATATTACTTAGCAGAGGTGGGAAGGAGAAAGACAGCAGGCAAGAGAACAACACAAGAAGTGTCTTTCCTTACCCACTCATCTAGTCTGTACTGTTTGATAAAGGTTGAGGGCTGGGAACAGTTTATAGTCAAGGAAATATCAGGTAAGGGTTAGCCCAACAAAAAAGGCTATAGAGGCTGTCACAGCCTGTGAAAAGTGATTCCTCAGTAGCTTAGGCACAGGAGAATTGTCCAATAACCAGAGGTGGGATTGACCCGGTTCGCACTGGTTCCATAGAGGTGGTTGTTATTTTTTATTTTAGTTCGGAGATCCGGTTGCTGGCCTGAGATGAATGAAGGCGGAGGAGCCAGGTGACCAGCGACGAGCGGGGGAGGGAGGGGGGCTATGTGTTTTTTTTCAAGTTAAAGATAACTAAGGCTGTTGCTCTGACAATTTGAGGAGACAAATGGCAGGCAGATTGCTTACTCGAAAACAGGAAGACAGCTATCAGTTTTTTAACACTAGTAAAGATTTACCATCAGGCCGGGGTTGAAGAAAGCAGATCAACATATCAAAGGGGAATCGAAACTATCCAGACATTCAGGCTGGGGGCTGGAGGGACTGCGAGGAGGAGGAGGAGGAGGAGGAGGGACTAAAGCATACTAATCAAGGATTTGTGACCAGCATCTTCAAGAGGACTGTGTTGAGATAGGTTTAAGTTTCAAGCTTTCATTTTTGAGATTATTCAAGTAAGTAAGTATAATACATAAAAGGCAAACTATGTTTGAGCATAAAGCTGGCTTTTTATTAAATATTTCCCTGCCTTAGCTGTTTGCCATGCAGTCTTGACTCTGGCAGGCAAAGACTTTTGTGGTAGGCTTTTTTAACATGTAAACTGCTGTGGAGAAATGGAGGGAGGGAAATGAAATGGGATTGCTTTTTAAAATTTTTATCATGTAAAATATATTTTCAAAATTATTTCAACAGGATTCCCTTTAGAACCTTTTAGCATTTATGTATTATTGCATCTTTATGCTGCCTTATAGTGGGATGTAAAAAAAATATTTATCATTGTGTCAGGGTTTGTGAACCACTGGAGACACTCTGCAGGGAGAAAGATGGGTTAAAAATAAAAACAAACAAACAAACAACCCAAGGCTCCAGGGTTTTAAAAAAA